AAAGAGAGAAAAGGGAATGAAAGAGAAGAAGAAAAACAGCAATTCAGAAAATACATCCTTGACATTGATACTGCACCTGAATCCAAGTCTCTAATTTTGTTGTGTTTTCCTTCTACTTTGTTGCACTTCAACCCTGAAGGTTTTCTCTACTACGAAAAAATCTCCAGAGGTTTAAAGTATTTGTAAGTGCCTCTATGTAACACCTTCACTTCCTCCTGTCTGCCAGCGAAGGAATTGCATCTTCAGCTTAGTCAAGTCCTCTGCCCTGTTAGCAATTCCCAGTCTACCAGGACCTTTCCAGCCACCAGACTGGGAAGAATATGGCCTGGTAGAAACTACCAAGTCCACATCTGCTGTCAGGTTCTTCACAGCTGGCTCCAAACTGCAGCTTTTGTGTGTCCATGATTTCAACGGGACATCTGAGGCAGCTCCCAGAGTATTTGTTTGCTGCTGCTAAGGCAAGACTGGAAGGGTACAAAACGTGTGGAGAGGTGCAAAGGGAATGAGGAGAGATCACTCCAGGTATGCTGGAAATTCACTGACACAGTCATCAGAGTGGAAGCCAACAGGCTTGCCTGGTCACTGCACAGTTAGCCAAATACTTCTTTCCTCACTTGCAGAGAACTGGACTGGATTTGTTGCTGTTGCTTCTACACTGCTCTGGCTACTGCCCATGAAGGATGCTAGAAAAGAAATTAGGTCCTATGGCTGTCTAGGTTGGACTTGCTTGTCATTGGCACCTGTGTCATTGTTTGTGTCAGTGCTGCCCTTCACTTTCACGTCATAAAGAAGACGATGTAAAGTCCTTAACCACCGTTATTGCTAGACCAGTCACACGATACCACGACACAGTGTCAGATATTAGAATATGCTTATCACTAATGACCATCTTTTCCAGCAAAATACATAGTCTGACTTCTTTCAAGCAAACAAACATATTATAATGACCAGTGGGTCGAGGGAGACACAAAGCAAAATTTAACATTATATTTGAAACTACAACTGCATTTGTAGCTTATAAAGTCAAGTGATAATGCTTGAAGTGCTAGTGCCTGGTAGTTCACAAACTTAAAATGCTAGAAGCCAGCTGATATATGGCATTGTTTTCACGCACTGGACAAATACCCTGGATTCTGATTCAAGAAAAAAAAAAAAGTCCTTAATGGTTTTAAGGTATTAAATTGTGATGTTGAATTTTTAAATAAATACTTGAGTAAAACTAGACTGAAGGATAGTCAAGGGATCTAACTTTATGTTGATTAATATCTGCTTACACTTTTTCTCTCTGCTGTTGTCATATTGATCAAATGTACTATTTAAATTAAATTTCCTGATCTGAAAGTATATTACTATCTGCACTGGTGAAATAGGATTGTCTCAAAGCCATTTGTTGTATTTAATTGTGTGTGACTGAGAATGCTTTTAGGAATTACAAGAAATGCACTCCTGGTTAAAATGGAAACATCTTTTCTTTCCACTGCTAACTTACAAATCAAAATGAATTCAATAAAGACTATATTAAAACAATAAAAAATGAGATTAGTGGTTGATGGATGGGCACCAAACCCTGAATTTCTCACTCAGCTACTGCCAAACATCCCTTTGAAACTACCAATAAAATAAAATGATCCAGATTCTCTGTCTACAGTCCCATGTAATTCCAATGTTGCTGAAGTTCAGCAGAGGCTGAACTTAAAGTGCTTCTCTTCCTACCTCTGCCAAAGTACCATAGTATGGGTTCCTACTGCAGAATAGGGTGACTGGAGATTACATGGCTGCACAGAAGCTGGCACCTGAAAGAGATGAGCTCCTGCTTCCTTGCAGGAGCTCAGACAACTTCTCTGAAACATCTACAAAGCCTCTGTGCAACATCCGGAGCAGGGAACAGTGCTGTCAAAGTGAGAACTGGAATCCTCATTTTGTGCTTGTGACACATTACACAGAGGATATTTGCCGACAGGGACAGGAGCTCTGTAATGAAACTCATGAATCTAAACTAGAAGAGTAGGTTAATATTATTTTTTTTTTTTTTTTTTTTTTTTTTTTTTTTTTTTTTTTTTTTTTTTTTTTTTTTTCCTGGCAGAATTTATTTTAGGCCAGTAAAACTACTGGTTTGTTTCTTCTGTTTTGCTCTGCTGCATAATTTAGCATTTCAGAAATGCTGCAGAATGATGACAGTGAAGCCTGAATTCAAGGCAATTAGGAAGAGGTTCAGCATCAGCTCATTGCCCTGCAAGACCTGCAGCTAAGCAAGCTATCGACTCTCCAGGCTGCCATTGACATTGCACTGATCCTGCAAAAAAGTGTGCTTTTTTTTTTTTTTTCATTTTTTCTTACAGGCTTTGCATGAATATGGAGAGAGGATTTAAACTTCTTCACACAGCATGACATATCAAGGCATGTATGTCTTGTTTTTATCTACACAGCTTTATTCATGCACACTTCCACTAACATGGAGCAGCTGTCAAAAGATTTAGATATATGCTCACACATAAATAAGCGGAGGACAGTTTAGTTTGTTCATTGTTTTAAAATTCTTAGAGTCACTTTTAAGATGCTATTGTGTGAAGTTACCATTGGAAACTGGACAGCTTTAGAAAACAGGATGCCTGCATATTTTCCAGAATAGGGAACCAGCTGTTATACAATAGATGTTTTTTAAAATTGTAAGGGATTAACTATCATTACGAAAAGTTATTCTAACAATTTTTACAATATTTATTTTTTTTTCTCAGAAAGTTAGTCCCTCTCAGCAAACCTTTACACACATGCTGAAGTTTACACTTCCGTTGAGTCTATGGGAGCTGCTGAGAAGTCACATAAGCATGGAAAAGGATCTGCATCTTTGTAAAGTGTTCACACTCACAGCACTATGTGGTGGGAGGCTTAGAAAAACAGTGACAGACTGTAAACCATATCCTGAAAAATGACAGTTTCAAATACTGCATTCTCATTTAATAAAGAACTCAATTTTATTTATCTCTATTATGTGTAGCTTTATTTTTACCTCAGATCATGTATGTCCAAGAATATCAGAAAATACTCGTCTGTTTTTTTTTAGTGAAATTTCCTCACAGTGAGCTTGTGTCAGTCATTGATACGGACTACATAGTGTCCCTCCCTGGTCTACCACATACGATATACATAAAAGAAAGAAGAGGAAATGCTATTAACTCTTCTATCAGTAAAAGAAGGAAAATGTAAGAGGTATCTTCCCTTCCCAAGAGCACGCAAGCTCCTCACAAAAACCCAAGCTGTGAGGTTCATCTGCAGTCATTGTAAGCAAATGGGAGGTGATCAGGGCTGGGAAGAGTTTCAGTCCCTGGCAAGCTGGCTGGGCAGTGCTGGTGAAAGGAGATGCTTTCAGCAATAAGACAGCTCATGTGCTGTCAAATGCAGCTCTTGATATTGAAGAACCTGGAGAGGTACCTTCAGTGGAATGACAGAGTAATAGCAGTACCAGTGGGGCCAACTGCACGCAATATGCTGTGGAAATTAAACATTCACTTAGGTACCTTTTTTGACTCTTCATGAAGATGGAGAACACTTTGCCCACAGTCTGAGCGTTATGGTTAATGAATTCTTAGAGTTTCATATAACATTGCCATGTCTTGTTTGTGTTTCTGTGACAGGGAAGCAGTAATTTACCTCAGAATAAAAGCAAATCTGCAGTAACAAGGGCCAGAACCTTTTACACAAGGATTCTTAAAGTACATGTTGATGAAAGCACTTTCATTCCTGTTCTGAAAGAGCCATTTTAGGATTACATGTAGTTCAACTCTACAAAGATGATAGTTATTCTTCAGAGTCCAGAAGACAGCCTCCAGACAACAAGAGACTCTGAAACAGTAATAACAGTATTTTTTCCTCAGTTAATCTGTAAGTATTTCTCAAGGGCATCCAGTATCATTATCCTACTTTTTAGCCCAAGACACAAAAATGAAGTGAGTTGCTCATGGTCTCCCAGTAGGAAAATATATGTGTCACTGCAGGAAACTGTGGATGGCACTCCACAGACTCTTGTTTCTTATGCTAAGGAAATGAAGGAACTTCTTTAAATATTCTTGTATAGTTCTTTTCTACTCTTTTCCCGGGACACTTTTATGCAACAGAAGTCCAATTTGCTAATACATAGGATTTTTTAGTTTTAGATAGTGCACAGATTTTTGGAGGGGTCATTCCTCAATAGCACTAATAAAATAGACAAACCCAGATCATATAGTTCACACTAATGCTAAAGGCTAATGATGAATACTAATTCGTATTAATGCTAGACACAGGAAGTGAGAGAGCTTTTTGGAGGGAAAGAGGTTGTTGCACAGAATCCTTTAGGATCAAGTCACTGAATCTAATTACCTCAAATCAATTTCAGTATAAAATATAATTCCACCTCACACTCTATATGTTTCAGTTAATGACCCATTCCTAGGTTTGGGTGAAAGAAAACAGTCTTAATGGACAACAATCAAAGCATACATTAAGAGAAAAGTAAAGGAAATCTGATCATGAGACACTACAATGTGCAATTGTAGTGCATGAGACACTACAATAGCAAATCATTTTACATTCTGGAGGAGTAAGAGTTTATTCCAAAGGTTGGAACATGTTTAGTTTTTGCTATCTCTTCTTCATCAGAGGATGAAACAGATCATGTCTGCCATGTAGGTACATCCATTAAACAGTTGAGAATATCTACCTGATCTGAAACAAACTGAAGTCAATAGAAACCTTTTCAACTGACTTCAGTAATGAACTTTGTCAAACAATCAATTCTGCCTGGGCAGTTCCTGCTGTCTCGATTAGTTAAAAACATGATGAAACTTTGTCAAAGAAATATTTGGAAAACAATCTTTTGCACTGCAAGAAATACTAAATCTATTCACTGCTTTTTGCTTTCAACATGAGTCTTGAAAGTATCTAGTTGTACTTTTTAAGGCAATCATCAGCGAATCTCAACACCCACTTTAACGATATTCTAGAAAAAGAAACAAAATCCTTACCCCAAAACTTTGGTGGCCATGTGATTGGAGAGTAAGTACTGTTTCTATCCATAACATCCAAATAACAAATATAGAATGGTACGTCCACAGAAGAGCAATGGGTTCTGAACGTTTGAGATTTAGCAGTAGAAGCAATGCTTTTGTGCTGCCAGCGAACTGTGTTGTTTGCCTGAAAGGAAATGGATGTATCACGTTTCCTGCTTGTGGACTCAAATTAGCAAGTGCTCGCCTTATCTTGGAACACCACATGGTTCCCGAGACGGGGAAGTAGTTTCCTTCTCGTCATTTCCTCAGCCAGAGCAAATTGACTCAGAACAATACCAAATCTCCTCCTTCTCTGAAACTTTTTGAACCCCAAAAATGTCCAGAGATAGACAGATGAAAATTCCTTTATCATTCCTTTAATGGTTTTCTATGTTGAAGACCTTTCTTAAACATTCAAAAGCACTTGTATTCAGTGGGAATTTTCAATCAGGAAAAAAATGTGTCAAGAGGCTTTTAATAAGCACATTTCATTGATATATTAATTTAGGGTATGAGGACTGTTAAGCATTAGCCATTGTTCCTCAGCTGGTTTGAGGAACTAGCTGGGCCTGACAGTGTAACTGTAAGCATTAATATTTTAATGAGTGTACTTCAAATTTCCTTTGACAATTCTTTTCCTTTCCACACCCCATTCTAAAATATTAGTTCCCTGGAACACAAACAGACTTTGAGCTAATTGTTTGGACAGTTTTAATACAATGCAGTGTTAATTCCCTGTTGGAATTTGTAGGTACTGCTGCTAAATATAACAAATAGCAATAATAACACCCTTACAAAAGACAATAGCCAAGATATCTAATAACACAGGCCCAGAATTAATGGAGAATGTATGGGGATCAATAAAATATATAATTTTGTATTTATGTGATAAATTCTGTAGGACCTGATTTTAACTATTTTTCTCCTAAATATATTGCAGACAATGGACGTCCATAAACATTCTGGTATGAATGTCAAACCTCTGTTCTCTGAAGAGTTGTATGAGGTTTTGTTTTGCCCATTGTTTAAAAGCAAACAAACAAACAAAAAGACAAACAAACCCGGAGTCAGCTACATCTATTTTTCACAACAAATACCAGGAATCCCAAAAACTTAGGAATACTCCAATCTTAAGATTTGGATCTGGCATAATTTTAATGTTGAATCGTGTTTTCTTTTGTTTTATTTGGAACTTTTTTTACATGAAACAATTTTTAAAAAATACTGAGTAAAGATACTCTGATGGTTAATGGAAGACTGACAGCTTTCAAAGCTGGTGTTGAAAGTGACATATCCAAATACTGAGTTAAGCACCTGAATGGAAAAGATCTGATTTTCAGATGTGTGTGAACAAAATACAATTTGATAAGAAATGCTGGGATTCTTTAGTTTCATTGGGACAGATAGCAGAGCAGATGATAAAAATATGCAAATTAAAGAATTCTACAATCATTATAAAACAGAATTAAACACTGACATTTTTCTCTATTGAGAGGATCTTTTCCTGAAAATTAAATCATCATAACTTGAGGTAACCTCATGGATAAAAATGCTTGTCATGATTCATTATACTGGCCAGTACAGAATCATAGAATCATAGAATGTTTAGAGTTGGAAAGGACCTTAAAGATCATCTAGTTCCAACCCCTGCCATGGGCAGGGACACCTTTCACTAGACCAGGTTGCTCAAAGTCTGGTCTTGAACACCTCTAGGGATAGGGGATCCACAGCTTCTCTGGGCAATCTGTTCCAGTGTCTCACCACCATAATAGTGAAAAATTTCTGATTTCTAATTGATTGATATCTAATCTAAATCTACCCTCTTCCAGTTTGAAGCCATTACCTCTTGTCCTATCTCTACATGCCCTTTTAAAATGTCCTTCTCTGGCTATCTTGTAGGTCTTTTTCAGATACTGGAAGGCTGCTATAAGGTATCTCTAGAGCATTCACTTCTCCAAGTTGAACAACCCCAACTATCTCAGCCTTTCCTTGTAGGACAGGTGTTCCAGCCCTCCGATCATCTTTGGGGCCTTCCTCTGGACCCACTCCAACAGATCCACATCCTTCTTGTGCTATAAGGACTCTAAAGCTGGACACAGTACTCCAGGTGGAATCCCACCAGTGCAGAGTAGAGAGGTAGAATCACCTCCCTGGACCTGCTGGCCATGCTTCTTTTGGTACAGCCCAGGATATGGCTGGCTTTCTGGGCTGCAAGAGCACATTGCCAGCTCATGTTGATCTCATCCACTAACATCCCCAACTCCTTCTCCTAATGGCTGCTCTCAATCCATTCTTTGCCCAGGCCATATTTGTGCTTGGGATTGCCCTGACCGATGTGCAGGACCTTGCACTTGGCCTTAAACTTCATGAGGTTTGCACGGGCCCACCTCTCAAGCCTGTCCAGGTCTCTCTGGATGGCATCCCTTCCCTCCAGCATGTCAACCTCACCATGTAGCTTGGTGCTGTCAGCAAACTTGCTGAGGGTGCACTCAACCCACCATTGATGTCACTGACAAAGGGTTGAACAGCACCAGTCCCAATACCCACTCCTGAGGAATGGCACTCATCACTGGTTTTCACTTGGACATAGAGCCACTGACCGCAACTTTTTGATTGTGACCATCCAGCCCGATCCTTACCCACTGAGTAGTCCATCCATCAAATCCATGTCTTTCCAATTTAGAGACCAAGATTATCTCTAGAGCATTCACTTCTCCAAGTTGAACAACCCCAACTATCTCAGCCTTTCCTTGTAGGACAGGTGTTCCAGCCCTCCGATCATCTTTGGGGCCTTCCTCTGGACCCACTCCAACAGATCCACATCCTTCTTGTGCTATAAGGACTCTAAAGCTGGACACAGTACTCCAGGTGGAATCCCACCAGTGCAGAGTAGAGAGGTAGAATCACCTCCCTGGACCTGCTGGCCATGCTTCTTTTGGTACAGCCCAGGATATGGCTGGCTTTCTGGGCTGCAAGAGCACATTGCCAGCTCATGTTGATCTCATCCACTAACATCCCCAACTCCTTCTCCTAATGGCTGCTCTCAATCCATTCTTTGCCCAGGCCATATTTGTGCTTGGGATTGCCCTGACCGATGTGCAGGACCTTGCACTTGGCCTTAAACTTCATGAGGTTTGCACGGGCCCACCTCTCAAGCCTGTCCAGGTCTCTCTGGATGGCATCCCTTCCCTCCAGCATGTCAACCTCACCATGTAGCTTGGTGCTGTCAGCAAACTTGCTGAGGGTGCACTCAACCCACCATTGATGTCACTGACAAAGGGTTGAACAGCACCAGTCCCAATACCCACTCCTGAGGAATGGCACTCATCACTGGTTTTCACTTGGACATAGAGCCACTGACCGCAACTTTTTGATTGTGACCATCCAGCCCGATCCTTACCCACTGAGTAGTCCATCCATCAAATCCATGTCTTTCCAATTTAGAGACCAAGATATCATGCAGGACAGTGTCAAATGCTTTGCATAAGTCCAAAAGCTTTGCACTGTCACTTCTGACTGACAGGAGACAGAGGTACGTAGAGGACGAGGTGCCAAATACATTGCTGATGTGACTTCAATTCCAATAAAATGAGCAGCCTTTTACCCCTTGAAAAGAGGAACTGAGGAATTCAATTCTGTCCTTAAAGTTTTTTAATGTATTGATTAAATGAGGGGAGATGATACTTTGAATTTACAACATTACAAGCCCTAATCCCTGAATAAAGAGAACTTTCAGGGGGAAAAAATGTGATGGGTATCTTCATATATTTTTCTAATGTATTAGAAAAATCACAGGCAACCAAACTGTAAGTATGTAAGGTAGTGCCGGAAGGTGAAGAGTCACCAGCTTCCTTGGCCATGTGCAGCTGCAGGGGAAGGACTTGGCACCATTGTCAGCCTGTTCTGGGGACAACAGTTGCTTTCTCTTTGGCATTTATGATTTCCTCCTTGATATGTTATGATTCTTCTGTTTTCCTTTGGCTTCCATAAACCCCTGATTTTTTCTGTTTAACAAAACACGTACAGTGGAGAGAAATTTTAGTGGGTGCATAGAGATAAATTTAGTTGAAATCATTTTTTCAGCTGGCCAGGCATGTTAATGATGTTTGAGTATGATCATTCTACAAATTGAACCCAGCTACTGTCAATCACTGCCAGACAGAAGGGTCATACCACTGTCACTAGAAGCAAAAAAGGAACACCGTAAACAGAATTTTAAAGCAACTTGCTGAAAACTACTTTTCAGTTTTTCAGCTGCTTACTGTTACTGGCACTTTTTGAGGAAACATGGGTATATATATACAGAATTCTTCTTCATGAACCCCATCCATCAAAAAAAAATAAAAAAAAATAAAAGAGTAGAATGAGCATCCAGTGAAACTTTTTTTTTTCTTCTTTTTTTTTTTTTACACTTTCCATCTGGAGATTAAGATTTAGGCTGGGATTTCCTTTAATTGTTTCATATTTCAGCAGCCTCATATTTGTCCTTGGTTAGTTTTACAGCTCTCCGGATACATGAAGAAAAACTCAGGAATTTTTGTTCTTTGAGCAGTGATGAAAAATGTTGCTGTCTCCCATCAAATTGTTCATTTTCAAGGCTGCTCATAATGTGACAAAGACAGAAACAACGGCCTGAATTTACTGCCTTTTAATGACTCACTTCAATCCTCTTCAAGATCAAACAGCGGATTTCTTCAGTTTACCCAAATAGTTAAATAACCTGCTTCCACATGTTGGATCTTTTCATATTATATGCCTGGAATGAATGAAGAAAAATGTGGCTGGTGAAACATCATCTCAGAAAACACCTTTGTTTTTCAGGTGTGTATTAGATGTTACTTTTTTTTTCTCCCGAATTTTCAGAAGAATTGTGGGTGGGGGGTGGGAAATGCGTGAGAATTTCAGAGATTCAGTACTTTTGGGAGGTGTGAAATCCTAAGGACATAACATAAAAATAAGGTCCCTCATTGACAGCCCTCCGCAGGTACACACTTTCAGGTTACTGATGTTTTTCATGATATTTTTGTGATATCAAACTTGTATTTGCATATTTATATGTCAGTGGGAAAATGAGGGGTTGGGAATTAAAAAAGGGTACAC